TCTTGAGCTATCTTGTTACCCAAATAGCTTAATGAGACTGTTGGAGCACGATGGCTAGGCTATTACTGACAGGTTTATAGTAAAGAAGACACCCGCGCTTGGCCTGGAGGCTTTGGATATGCTAAAGTGGGAGCAAATTACGGCCCGGCTTTTGTAGCTCATGTAGGTTTCCTTTGCTATTTATTCTTACTGGGAGCATTTCAATCTTCAAGTGCAGATTTCACATTGAAATCCATTATCAGTACTGTGTCCTGGAGGCCCCTTGGTTATGTATCGCCTTGCTGTTCGCTTAGAGCTTCATGGGATACTTCATTTGCATCCGGAGCACTTCATTGTGCCTATCGTTCTCATTGGTCCAAGACATTTTATTATGAAGGCTTTCACTTCTCATTCAATTTTACAGCATTAGTTATCTCTCTTATCTATGGGTTGTGTCACTAGGAAAGATACCTATCTTGTGCAGGTTTAAGCTAATGACATCTTTTAGATGGCGGGTCGCAAGCTCGGTTATGATCAGATCCTTTGGCTCTTCGGTCCCGATTATCAAGTTACCGAAGCCGGAGCCAGCAACTTCTTCCTCGTTGTACGTATCTTCGCCACGAAACATAGATTCACATCGTCCCTTCATCCTTTCAATTATAACGCATCCGTTGTCTATCCTTCTCTGATACCATGCCCTAACAACCCACCAGCTCCGCGACCCCAAATCCCAAGCCCTCCAGCTTCTCACCGCCCCTCTAACCGAAAAACTGATCCTTGATGGCGTCACCCGCCGAAGCGTCCTTGATCTCGCTCACGAACGTCTATCCCCATCTTCTAAATCTCTACCAACTAATATTAAACCACTAGAGATTATAGAAAGAACATATACTATGTTAGAAGTAGAGGAGGCACACAAAGAAGGAAGAATCGTTGAGGCTTTCTTGAGCGGAACTGCTGTAAGATTTCCCCCCTCCCCTCTCCTCCCCTCCCCTTTCTATATTCCCGCACTCACAAGCCCAACAAAAACGGGGATAAATGCACCCACCATCTTTCATCCTTTCGCATCTGTAACTCCAATCTCCTCGTCCTTGTCTGCTCGCAAGAACTAATCTCTCCCTCTCATTCAATAGTACTTCATAACCCCCGTATCCGCCATTTCATTCCGAGATCGCAATATCGAGATCCCTATGCAAAACGCAGCTGGTGATAGTGGCGTTTATGCCCAGATGATCAAAACTTGGTTGTACGATATTATGTATGGGAATGTAGAACATGAATGGGGTGTTGTGGTTGACGAGGATGAATGATTATAATGTTACATGGACACTGAATAACGACAATAACTTAGCTGGCTTAAAAAATTATTGTGGTGATAGACGGGAGTGATATAGAGGTGAAAGGGATTAAAAGGAGACGGAAAGACGGGAAGACGTGATAGAAGCTTAAGCTATACGATTCATAGATTGATAGACAGATGTCTCATAGTAGTTAGATATTAATGCCCTAAACGAGGATCTATATCAAAAAAGTAAAGTCAAATATTCATTCGAATTATTTTGTGCGCCTAAAATACAAATTGTAGCTCCCTAGTTTGCATGTCACTCAACTTTCAACCATAAACTCCCAGTCCATTCACAATAACCATAGGGTAATTGTGAGGTACTTTGAAAATATAGCAAAATGCACGCAAATACGGAAGTTTCTGATCCCACACTGGTTGAGAAATTCCTTGTCAACTAGTTCTTCCTATTCCCCGCAGCTTTCATTATTTCGTCCCTTCCTATTTACGATTGGCTCCTGGTTGAGCGTTTGTTGACCTCTGCCTTAACAGCATCAGTTCCTGATGCGACGGCCTCAGAGACCTTGTCTTTGGCATCAGCAGCAGCATCCTTGGCCTTAGCGGCTGCTTTCTTGACTTGTGGTGGAGGAGTAGATCCGCTCATGCTAACGATACCGACAATGATGGCAATGAGGGTGACGAAGACGGCACCGATACCGGCAGCAGCCTCAGGGACGAACTTGATAGCTTGGATGGGGTCATTTTGAGCGATGGTGAGGAACAAGTCGAGCTTCTCCTTAACGTAATGAACTGGGTCATCAGCGAAGACAAGGTCGGATGGAGACTTTGGCTTGTCCTCAGGCTTTGGAACGGACTCGAGTTCAATCAATTGTTCGATGGGGTGCTTCTCGTTGAATGTCTCATCAGCGAACTTAGCAGCATCCTCAACAGAGTGACCAATGTAAATGTTATCGAAGAGAATATCGCTTTGCATAGTCCAGATTTCGAAACCGATCTGTGATGACGTTAGTGTTATGATTTAAAACGAGAAGACGAGATACTTACAGCTCCCATTGGCTCGAGGTTGGATGGGGTCTTATCTTCATAGTAGTCTGGGTTCTTGATCTTGCGTGGAGCCCAGACACCCTTGTAGGCTGGGTTGTCAATGAAAGGTGCGGTCCACTTGCCCTTGTAAGCTGGGTTCTTGATCATTGGCTTCTCCCATTTACCACATCCAGAAACATCGTCACACTTTGGATTTGGTACAGTTGGGGCGATCCAGTCTCCATCCTCCTCATCATCCCAATCCTCTGGCTTTTGTGCCTCTGGGTCTGGGATGCTGAGAGGCTCATCCTCCAACCAATCCTCAGGCTTGGTAGCTTCCTCATCGACGATTTCGAATGGTGCATCCTCATCCCAGTCCTCGGGCTTCTTAGCTTCTGGGTCTGCGATACGGGCTTCGTCAACCCAGGTATCTGGCTTGGAATCCTTAGCATCATCAATCTCCTTGGGTGGGTTGAATGCTGGAACGAAGTCGTCGGAGAGAAGGTTAACCTCCTTAACTTGCTCGCCATCCAACTTGATGATGGCAGTGTTGTTGGGGTGAATGATCAAGGTGTAAAGTTCGGTGGTCTTGAGGATTCTGGCTGCTGGTGCAGGAGTCATATGCTTCTCTTCATATTCACCAGTCTTTGGGTTCTTGTGGTTGATGATAAGGTGAACCTTGTTGGTGGTACCACACTTGTCTGGTCCGAACATGATAACATATGGAGATGCGTTGGAGAACTCCTCTTGGTGAAGAGCCTTGTTGTCACGGAGAAGCTTCAAGTATGCTCCACCACACTCAAGACCATCTGGCTGGATGTTAGTGATGCTAATTGATATGTTGGAAACAATTTATACTGACTTTGCATCTTGACCTCATATTGAACAACGAGGGTCTTTCCCTTGTTATCAATCTTCTTGGGGAATTTGGCAGAAATGGCGTGATGAGCAGCTGGGTTCTTGACAACGAGACCCTTATCTCCCTCCATACCCTTGAAGACGTGGGGTTCCTCTACAGCCCATTCTCCAACATAAGCCCATTCTTCTTCTTCCTTGTCGGAACCCTTGGTGTCCTTTTTGGCGTGGGATGGCTTCCATCTTGTCTCCCAGTCATCGGTGAACTGTTCGAGGAAATCGGCAGTTATTTTGGTAGGCTGCAAGAGAAATGATTGTTAGAGGCCACCTTGGAAAAAGCTGCCAAGATGTATGGAATGTGCAGGTTAATGGAAACTTACAGTGAAGGTAGGAAGCTCAATGCCAGTTGAGGTGGCAGACGAGACTGATGAAGAAGCTTCAGTAGCAGCACTTGATACTGAGGAGCTTGCTTCACGGAGTACAGATTGAGCATCGGCATTGACAGAAGTAGCCAAGAGAGCAGCTGCTGAGAAGGCAGCTGTAGTATGAAAACGCATGATGAATAGAAGAGAACCGAGTTCTAATCGACCTTTAGATTGACAAGAATAGTTCTACGACTTTGAAGAATTGCTTCCAGAGCTCAATGGATGTTAAAAAGGCAGAGAAGATGAAAAGCGATTGATGCGACTTTTATGGTCCTGGAGAAAGTGTTAGGAATTAAGAATATGCCACAGTGTCCTATATTTTAACGTTTACTCGTTTAGGTAAGGTTTGCACCAAGTGACTGTCCAGGTAATGACAAGGTTTGAGTTTCCCCTCACGAAATGGATTATGGACGCTTTTGCGATAGTGATACTGTACGGTAGTGGAATAATGTTTCATATGACGATGGATCAGTGAATTGTCGACGGGATGTTGCGAACATGAATTAAAAGATATCAATTGATCATACGTGTTCGGATTATCGTACAACTGATGTTGACTTGTCTACAGATGGAGATGGAGATTGAGTCAAGTTCATAGAGAAAGGCCTCGGGGATTGGGTATATATCAATTGTCAACCCCTCTTATTGTTTTCCATTGTACGAGAGAGATAGAGCTTCGACAAAGCGGTGTTGGACAATACATGTCAAATCATTCGTCGAGTCGTCCAGCACTGATACTTTCTTTATTTGACAAGTACGAGTGGTACTGGTAGTACACATGTTATAATCCATCACCATCCGATGGATGATGGATGGTATGAGAGTCGGATGCCAATCTCCAATTTGAACCAGCACTACATGATACACCAATCTGTCTACATCCTCTTATCTATGATCTCCCTCTACCTATGTTAACATGACACAAATCCAGGAGCCAGAAACAGGACACACCTCAATTCCTCTTCAACATCGATGCCGTCTCTTCCTCAATATTGCATCAATTCCCAACCTCCTCTTCGTCAGCTACAATACCGGTACGACCTTGTTCCATCCCTCTGCTTCCTCAGTTCCGAGACTCTGTTCGATTTCTTTCTATCAGATACCCTATCTAGGACAAGTATCCACAGCTATCCTGGGCTGAGTGCAGGGTCTACTTGTCAGTCCATGCAACGGTAGAAAAATTGAGAAAAGAGGGGCACAGCCAAGAGGAAGCTTGCCTCGAGCTTGCCTAGGTATTTCCCCACCAAAATGTCACTCACCAACAAATTACATGGCTTGATTTGATTTTCCCCATACGGAATCCAAGATTGACATTTTACTTTGAGGCTACCAATTGAACATCCATCTTGAGTTATCGTATACGGGCAGGATTTCTTGCCCATTCATGTGCATTTCAAACATACGGTGCAGCAATCATGACTACCCAGAACCAAACTCAAGAATCGGAGAACAATGATCATCTCATTATTTCACAAGATTCTCAACATCCCGCGAATCTAATCCCAGAACTCTGCGCAAAGTTTTGGCATCTAGGATGGGTAACAGGTACAGGAGGAGGCGCCAGTATTCGCAATGAGTATGCCCACCTTCCCTCTCACCCCGACCATAAACTGACCTACCCAGTGATCTAGTATACCTTGCGCCATCTGGAGTCCAGAAAGAACTTATGAAACCAGAACACATTTACGTCCTCGATATAACCAAACAACTTGATCCCAAACAACGCATCTACCTCCGCTCACCACCCAATCTCAAGCCTTCCCAATGCACCCCTCTTTTCATGGCTGCATTCACCAAACGAAACGCTGGTTGTTGCATCCATACGCATTCAAAATGGGCAGTCCTCATCACCCTACTCCTAGAATCCGCGCCCAACACCACAATGTTCGAAATCAACAACATCGAGCAAATCAAGGCATTTGGAAAAGGCTATACGAAGACAGGAAATTTAGGATATCACGATACGTTGCGCATTCCAGTTATTGAAAACACACCCCACGAAGAAGATTTGACAGAGTATCTGGAAGAAGCCATGGAGAAATATCCGGATACGTACGCGGTTTTGGTAAGGAGACATGGGGTTTATGTCTGGGGGGAGTCGGTACACAAGGCGAAGACTCAGTGTGAGAGGTAGGTTTTTGATTTCTCTATTTATTTTGTGTGACCTAAATGATGCTGATATTCCATGTAGCTTGGATTACCTTTTCCAAATTGCAGTCGACATGAAGAAATTGGGGTTGCCATGGTTGAGTGATGTTAAACCAATTGCTTGAAGGACTTCCACCGTTCGAGTTGCTGTTGTTTTCGGAGATGAAGTGACGATTCAAAAGAATTAAAGATACCCTTTTTCTTACGCTATATTTTTCCAGGACGTAGATATGATGATCAGAAGTGTCACTTAGTTCATTTCTTTAACCGCTGGGCTCGAAACTCACTATTAATACGGTGTTATTATTGTATATCCTATCCCACCCTAGAGAGCTTTGCATTGTTATCTAACCTAACCATCTCCCACAGTCGAATCCAGATATTCTCTTGTACCTACAGCCTCTGACTCCAACGCCTTTCAAAAACAAAACTCTCCTCGCAACCATCATCGCGACTCTCCCTCATCCCAAAAGAAGGTATCCCCACCCCCGTGATTCGCCAACTTCCTATCTCTGTTGACAATCAGCTTTTGTTCGTTTATGTGCCATACCATGCCATGAGTTCCTAGATCTATACCATTCATCCTGCATAAGACACCAATACAAAACCCAAAAACCCCTTCTAAAGCACACGTAGAAAGAGAAAAAAAAACTAAGGTAGGTAAACATCCACAGTTCAGGCAAAGGGAAAGAAAAAATTACTCAATATTCACATTTCCGGATCATCGTATCGATCATGCCCATGTCCGCGCAAACTCTCTCGATCCTGATGCGTAGCTAATTCATGGGGTCCTGACGATTAGCTAATTCATGGGGTCCTGACGATGAAGCGTGGGGGTGGAAATGATTTGGGATTCCCGGGGAGGGAGAGGATCTTGAAGGAGTTAGTGGTTGGTACATTGAATGAAGATATATTTGAAAATCAGGAAAGAAGGGGGGGATCAGAAATAATGCACCTCAGTCCTCTCAATCTCTCGCTCTCCCTTTCTCGTTCCCACCTCTCTCCCATCCCCATTTGCACACCCAAAGATCCAGACATTCCAGGACTATTCGGTAAACTCACAATCCCACCCGAATTCACATTCCCTTGTTGATAATTCGGACTCGCTCTTCCCTCAGCTCCTCTCCCACTCCCATTCCCAATTCCCCCCAAATTCAACGGCGGAATGACCATACCATATTCATCTGCCCCCGGACTCCGACTGCGACTCCGTCCATACCCCTCACTTTCAATATTCGATTCAGAAAGATGCGAATGATTTTCGCTTCCCGCGCCGGAAAATTGTCCCAGCCCGCGAATTTCATTTTCCGTCATAAGATGTTGAGGTTTATTGTAATATGTTGTTTCAGATAGAGTTGCCGATGGCGCGATATAGGATTGGGGATTGGGACCACCGGGGTGGTGCGGATTGGGGTGGATATGGGAAGTCATGTTTGAGGGACGGGAGTTGTGATGGATTATTTCTTTGATGGTGCGTTGGCGGCCGCAGAGGTAGAGGAGAGCGCTGGCTAGTAGGACAAGCGCGGATGCGCCGATGGCTATTCCTGCTATAGCACCTGGGGATAGCTTAGAGGAAGTGGGAGATGAAGTAGAAGAGTCTGTGACGATTATTGTGGAAGCGGAGGTGGTAGTGCTGGGGGAGTCGCCTGAAGACGAAGTAGATGTCGGACGAGCAGTCGAAGATGAGGATGAAGTGGCTTCGACGGGGAAGTTTTCGCCAGGACTAAACTGTAACGAGGAGTTCCTCGCATATTCCAATTGACTTTTGAATGTTTGAGTTGAGTTCTAATATCAAGAATCGTGAGTATTCGTAACCAAACTGTGCCCAATGACATAAAACAGTCGAACATACAGCATTAATCACACCAATCATTCCATCCTCATGGCACGCTCCTGGAGCTGAACAATAAAAGAAGATCGGATCAGTATCATTGACGACGACTTGGAATTTCGGAGGCTAAATACTCTCAAGTTAGATTATGCAATGGCATTTCCAAATATTCTCAATGAATGTACAAACATCATTTAAAACCACATTGATCGGATGGAAACCACTCCAAAACCCTCGCTTGTTGATGCCCGTCACTTCATATGGAATACACGCTCTATTGCTTCCATATTCTGCTCTCGCAACCGAATGATTTTGAGGATAAAATCGAAATTCTAACAATCCACTCATCGATTAGCATAACGCACTATCCTCCAAACCAAACTCAACACAAAGACTCCTTTTGCAAAACGCATACCTATCACATCACTAACATTCGCACTCAATTCCGTCGGCGTAAACTGCAATCCTTCTATGCCCACCGAAACCACATGCGTCGGCACTGCACTCGACGTAGTGCTCGACTGCGCCGTCACCTTATCCCCACCCAGAACGAGTAGCGCAAACCATGCGATTGAAAACCTCAACATATTTCAAACAATCATATCGGACGCTCTGGATTCCAGGAGAAATATCAAACCAAGACACAAACGGATACAGAAACAGAAAGAGAAAGAGAAATCCAGGTAGTAGAAACGTAAGTAAGCAGAGTCATTGTCCTACAATCGCTAATTCGAGCGGACCAACAATATTTCCATGAAAATTACGCCCAGATGGGGTTTTGCTCTCTGAACAGCCAGCCAAGACTTCATGGCTGTTTGCTGTCAGCTTTTTGCCTATTAATATTCAGACCTCTCGGGAAAAGTTCCTTGTCCGCCACTGCTAAGTTCAGATAATCTGTTGCCTGTATGTCAATATCGGACTTCCTGTTATATAACATGGCTTTCTAATAGCTGGTGTTTGTTCTCCCAGTCCACGGGTTGCACCGGTGTTGATCGCTCCAGGTACATTATCAAGGCTAGCTTCCTCTTGACTCCTTGACTGTAGAGCATGGTAAGATGCGCGGCTTGAAAATCAAGACCAAAATGCGAATGTCAGCATCTGAGAAGCCCGGCGTCCAATCGGTGCTGATTGCCAAGTTAAGCTGAGATCAGGAAAGCTTGGGCTGATGAATATATAAAATTTAAAAAATTGAAATGTCACTCCTAGTTACCAGAAAGTCCCAAGAAGCATGTTAGTCAGGTTCCAAATCTGATTTTGGTGTTTATATTACATCGTACATTTAAATTACGTATTCAATCCGAGTCCAATGACAGGCACCCTCAACCCTAACATAGCTCTCCACTATCCACGACCTCTGCAAAATCTCACTCGTGGTACCCTTCTTCAATTGGTTGTACCTACTTCTGTTGCCATATCGGGAGCACAGCCTGTGACGAAATTTCAATGGCCGTCCCTGATTCCGCGAAGGAGGAAATATTCTACCTCTAAGGTTACCATAAGCAGACAATGTCAATATGCCAATCATCCACTTTCTCATACCACACGTTCGAAGGTTTTCTGTATCGGTTTTGCAGCCTATTATCAATTAGCATGAGGGTTACGATATCTAGAATATGGCCGTAACAAGGTCTAAACTCACATCGATAAACTTTTCCAAATCTTTGTCAAGATTGGCTAGATCATCCTTCCTCTTCTTATTATCGGCAATCAAGCCTTGTTTCTTCTTCAAAAGTCCTTGTCTCTGTTCCTCCAACTTCAATCTTTCCTGATGTTCATGATCTATTCTTGCAATCATAAGCGCATTCTCATCAGCGTCAGCGTGTTCAGGATGTTGCGCTAGGAATTCGTCGACTGGTATCAGGGGAAGTTGCTGATATTTGTGACTGTAGAAGATAGCATTAGCGACACTGCCTAGTTCCATACTTGGAAAATTGGCTGAAAACTCACTCATATGATTCGCAAGCAGCAATTTCCCCTTGTAAATGCCGTTGTTCATAGTATAGATTTTGAAGTTGTAAATGTAGCCTATCTACTTCTTGACGCGCTTCCGCGGTTAAAGCTTTTGTTTCTCGTGCGCCGGCATGAGAATCACGATGTAGACCTCTCAATTGTGCGAGATATGTAAGGAGCAATTTTTGTTGTTTAGAAATCTGTAGTAGAACTTCGTTCGACGGAGGGGATGTTGTAGATACAGCCGATACGAAGTCCAGAAGAGCAATTGCTTGTTCCCGCGTCTGATTCGATGTTTCAAGTGCAAGCTTGAGGGATGGGTCTGTAATTATCTCGTCGATAGCCATTATGGTGAAATTCGTTATTAGAAATTGGAATTGAAATAAGAATCGAGGCTGTAACTTATACAGTGGTTTGCATTAAGGATTATTTGTTGGAGAGAAATTAAAGAACAGCCTTCTCGTTCAATAAGGCTGAATCCGAAGCTATCTTACTAGGTAGTTCTAGCCTCATTTCGCACCTTACATAACCTGATAATGAGCTAGCAAAATATATTGGCCTTTTGCAAAAGTCCCTGCTTAGATTATCAGTTGAGAATCTATCATTCCTTGGGAACATTCTAGATAATTTCAATCAAGCATTTATGTCGAGCTGATTAACTTTGGCGTAGAAGATGGCTTTAACAAAATATGATCTCCACATTGAAGATCGAAAGATGCGAGGGCTCAAAGCATGTGAAATTCATCGTGCATCACATTTAGCATGTGAAAATTAAACCGCTACGATTGAACAACCTTCGTGTAGATAGACTCAGAAGCCTAAAAATCTTTATTTAAATTTCAAAATGTACTTGCTATATCTATCTATGGTAACTAAGCAAAAAGGGGTATACGCTTGTTACGTTATCAAACGCCGAGTTCCTCCCATATGGTGAGGCTTGATACGTAGAACAACGCCGAGTTCGTAACCTGTTTTCCAAACAAAAAAAACCCCCCAAACCCATTATCCGCCATCCTTTTTTGCATTTCTAATAGAGCTTGCCATCCGGTCCCATAACTCCTTCGGAAGAAGCCATGTTGCACTGTCTAAATAGTCTCTTTTCCTCGGGACTGAATGCACCTACGACCGAATGTAAGACTCCTTGATTGTTGAACAAGACCAAATCGCCTTCCACCCAATCATGTGGGTACACGAATTTTGGACTGATAGCTGGTCGCTGCAAGCGATAAACTAGATCTCTCACTTCCTTGAGATCAGTCATAACCTCTCCATTTGGTAGATGAATGGCTTTGATGGCACTAGGATGAATTTGGAGTGCCAAGTTACCCGTGACTGGATTCTTCCAGCACATAGGCAAAATCTTGATGTCCTTCTCATCAACAGGAGGAAGTTCAGACAAAGGCAACTCATTCCCATCGGAAACCATACCAAGGCCGGTGGAGCGTGACCTTGCAGGAGACATCCAAATATATGGATGTGGTGCGTATTCTACCTTTGCTCCACGAACGAACTCCTTATCCTCTTCGCTTAACAAATTGTACATGTTTTGACCGGAGACAAAAGCAGTGGTACCAAGAGGGACATCCATTTCTTCACCAGTTCCATCATCATAACGAAGAGTTTGGCGACGGCCAGCGGGAACCTTTACAGCCATCAACGATGTTACTTTTGGTGGATTGAGGGCATAAAGAGCAGCATCAATGTGCCACCGGTAGAAGCGTGTGAACGCCAAATCTTCTTCCTCTGGAACAGCGGTCTTATGAAAGACTTTGTGATGAGGGTGCTTGAGTGTAATATTCTTCAATCCTTCATATTCTTCATAAAACCCATTTCCGATGACTTGAACCTGAGTTTGATGAGGGATTGTTTTCAAGTCCGGGTGAAGAACTGATCGTTTCGCATCAAGAGTTTTGCCATGACCATACGTTTCTAGGGAAATAATTAGACACAAGACTTAAACGAATGGAGGGAAAGGACTTACCAGCCGTGGGATCAAATCTACGTGTAAGCTCATATTGGGCTTTGGGGGAGAGACCAGCCTGGTTCTTCAGAACTACAACATGGTAGTTATATAAAGCATTGCGAATAGTTTTGAAGTCCTCCTCGCTGAGATGTTCCAGGTCGACATTGTTGATCTCGGCTCCGAGGTTGAGAGAGGAATTCTCTTGTGAAGAGAAAGGCTTCACTTCTAAAGTCTTGACGGCCATTTGATTTTCTGGGGTTCAGATGTTATGTTTTGTCTGGAATATATTGAAAGGAAGAAGATTGTGACCGGCGTTTGGCTGTATATGACCGTGGAAGGTCAGTGATTTATGTATCGAGGGGCGACGGAAATGTCCGAATCGAGCAGGTTGAATTTATGCATAAGGAAGGCCGGAAAAGAACTGACTCCACGCGTTTCCCCGGTTGGTGCAAGAGTAAATCGGAATAACTTTGATAAGCCATTCTTATTTGCATATGGTGAATTCGAGTGCTTTTAGTAGAATGTATTGGTGAGGAGGGGTTTATCAACATAGAAGATAAGAAAGTCGGAGCTCGCCGCAAGACCCTTAAATCCAAGATGTGGAGAAGCTTCAATAAAGCGTGCATCAAGAGCTATTTACTCGTTATTGTTATCAATCAATTGAGGCAGGTCGTTATCATCAACATCCATATGTGTGAGTTACCTATGTTGGTCATGTGTTGGTGTTATCATTTCCTCGTTTTCTCGAAAACGCCTACCAAGTCTCTTCTTCAATCTTCTATATCAGGATTCAAATTATCAACATTTTCCAATCCATAGTTCTTTAGCGTTTGCTCATTCTCCGTATACTCATCAGTCCAATCATGTGAGCAAAAGATCAATGAATCTTCATTTTTGTTGGATTGACCCCGGGACCTCGGGAGGCGATCATCAAGCTCAAGCCACACTATGCACCGGAATTTACTGTGGCGTGGTGGCGACGCTCCATCCATGGATCCATGATGTCTATGATGACATTGATCTTGGACGTACAAGGTATTTCATGAATCAAAATCTTTGCTAGAGTTCCTCCTTTATATCTGCATCATTGTCATCAAATTGTTTCATATGAGCTTTTTAAGCCCTTTCAAATTTCCCACGCAGGTCAAAATATTCACCTACCTATTTCATTCTCGCCGAAATCTCCATATAATTCCAACATCAGCAAACATGAGTTGGATGGATTCATGGTCGCGCCCCTCAAAACATTCCGCTGTTCCCCCACCTCTCTATTTAACGGCAGGAGAAAGTGTTCCTTACTGTCTAACATGTGGTCGAGTCATGAGTTAGCACCGTGATGAACATTTTTAAGCTTTATCTAATACATCCAATAGGCACCAAAAAGGCCAGCAAAAAATCCAATAATGAGGTCAAATACTGTTCAGACAGGTGTCGGAACCGAAAGCCTGGAAAATTAGATAGAAAGATTGAGCAAGCTATTGTTGCACTGTTGGACCAGGAGAAAGACTCGGGTCTAGAAAAGACTGGTGCAAAGGATCGTTTTGTGAAAGGGGATCATCGGGTTATTGTTACCTGTGACGAAATTGAAGAGATTGTATTTGGGAGTCGCTTTGATCCCGAAAAGGTTTATGGGAGAAGGAAAAATCGTAAAAGTCGTGCAATTGGAGGATCGAATGTTGATGCAGAATGGAAGACTGTTGATATGGAAAGTAGTGAGGACTCCGCTAGCGATGATGCGCCCGATGAGCCTGTGAACACAAAAACCGGGCCAATGATACGCCCACCACAGACTGAATCGGACATCAATTTCAGTGTTGGGGGCGAGAGGGGTAAAGCTGAGAGAACAGAGGAGTCGGCTTCGAACTTACAGAAGAAGGTTGATGGCCAAAAACAAGCAGAAGAAAGAGAGATGGTTCGGCGGGCAGCTAGGAGGGCTGTTGTCTTTGGCTTTATCGTTGAACAGCCCCCTGAAACTAGTCCATCTCAAGTATCTAAGGGCTCAAGGCACAAAAAGACGGCAAGCTGGGAGGAGAATGTTGTAAAAGAGCCAATCAGGCGCAAATGCGAGGCTTTGATGCAAGGCTCAGTAGTTGAGCCAAGCTACGCCAAGGGAAATTGGTCTATAAGATGGCGGGAGTAGCTGGATATCTCTTCCCATAGCAGCCAACGTTACTTCTATGCATTGAGGTAAGCACTTGCATAAGAAAGCGAAACCCAAAAGATCCGTTAAATTATATTGGACGTTATATGAACAAAATACGAACCATCGCAGATTCAACTTTTGTTTGACCATCGGGAGGCACATATTGGGGAGCAGCCAGAAAGTTCCGAGCAGTCGCGACAGCTTGGACTTTTCGCCTTGAAAATTATCAAGATGAGAGGAAGCAGATCATCAGATTTTGAACAGAAAGACGCGGTTGTCGAGATTATCGAGACTCAAAACAAGACGGTGTTGAATCTACACGAATTCTACAGATTCTCTAAAGCTTGGGAGGTGCGCAGTTGCGTAAGTCTCTAGTTGTGTAAGCTCGGTTCGACTTTCCCCGGAATCACTTTTCATCTACTTGGGGTGGCTTTTGTGATACGTACTCGCTTTAATCTCGTCGCACTCATCTTCTGAATGCGTAGTTCAGCGAAGGCAAGGTGTATCAAAGGCGCCACGAAGAATTCCATAAGATCATTAAATACAATTGGCCGCTTCAACCCTATGATTGTTCCTCCTATCAAAAACATGAAATGGGCCATTGAATGGTCGCAATTCGTTAGCTTGCTTTTCAGACAATCAGCTTTCTGATATCACATCCATATTGAAAGATGATAGTCCAATCGAGTGCTCTACGCTTCGAAGGAATGATGTGCAAGCCAAAAATCCGATTTCATTTTAACCCGCATAAGTATATGCAGGCTTATTCATATCATCAACGCAACGGTTACACTCGCGTATCTTCTACCCTGATCGTAATTGCTGACCCTGTCAGATTCCATGACTTGAGCCAAGTACTTGGTCTATTAACCCATCCCATCCTATGATTACATCTTACCCCTCTTCAAAATCTATTAAGTTGTAGACATTTCCACTGCAAAGAGCTATACATCGAATCGGACCATAGCTATAATGTTTTCCACCGAAAATGGCAGTTTCGTTCTTATTACACTTTTTTTCTGCTCCATTGTTTCTAAGGTTGCTTGGGAGCTTTTCTTCTCTCCATTGAGGCATTTCCCGGGCCCGGTCGCTGCAAAGTTCACGAACATTTATCGTGCATTTACAGTGTACTTGGGCTCCATGGACAGAACGCAAAGAAACTGGCATCGTAATTATGGCGTAGCTGTTCGAATTGGCCCAAAAACCATCAGTCTTAGTGATCCATCTTTGATTGGGACGATATATGCAACCAAAAATGCATGGCTGAAGGTAGGTAAATGGAGCTTTAATGGCCACAATCTTCCAACTTTGGCACTGACAATTGTTTGCTAGAACGAGATGTACAAGCCCAATGATGCTCTTATTGAAGGGAAACGGATGTCAAATATTTTTAATTCTAGAGATCCTTTGTGGCATGAAAAATACGTGAAACCTATCAGGAGTCTTTGGACCATGACAAAGGTTCTGGACATCGAGCCCTTGGTTGATGAAACTTTGGGGATATTCATCGATAAGCTAAGTGCGAATTTTGCGGATGAATCGAAGACATGTATGGTGGATGACTGGCTAGCATACTGTATGTTTCATGCTGCCACAGAATATTTCCAGTTCTGATCTGAAATTCCATAACAGTTGCTTGGGACGTGGTGGCAAACATCAGCTTTGGACGACCATTCGGATTGATTGACCAAGAAAGGGATGTCGATAACATCCTTCTTGAATCCAAAAGGTCGCTCTACTACTTCGCCGTCGTCAGTCAAATTCCATGGATTGACCATTTTCTTGACAAGAACCCAATAATTCGGATTGGTCCCAGGCCTACTGTAACGGGAATCTTGTACTGCTTTAAGGTTGTTGCTCAGTATCGAGAAGAGCTCTTATCGGCGGGTCACAAGCACAAAACTATCAACCACTACCTCGATAATTATTTCAAGCTCAAAGAAACGAACCCGAACCTAATTAATGACAACCAAATTGTAACATATCTAATACTCAGTATTCTTGCAGGCGGCGATACGACCGCATCAACCATGAGGGCTATTCTATACTACCTTTCCAAAAACGCATCCGCTTACACAAAACTGACCGACGAGCTAGACCATGCGAATCTCTCACTGCCAGCACAATGGAAGGATGTACATAATCTTCCGTATTTGAGTGCAGTGCTCCATGAGGCTATGCGCATTAATCCGGGTGCTGCTATGATGTTAGAGCGAGTTGCTCCCGATTCTGGATTTACTCTTCCCGACGGAAGATTTATTCCAGGTGGAACATCCGTGGGTATCAGCCCCGGAGTCTCGAATCGAGACCCTGAAACCTTCGGATCTGATGTCGATTCCTTTGATCCCGATCGCTGGCTGCAAATGAAAGGAGAGAGTCAAGAAGATTTTGAAACTCGTCACAAACAGATGGTTAAAACTGTCGATTTTATATTCGGTGGTGGTAGTCGGGTATGTATGGGGAAATATTTCGTTCAGCTGGAATTGTGGAAAACGATGGCTACTCTATACAGTATTTTCGATGTGAGTTCTTCAAGCTTTACCCTTTCCGTATTAGATACCTCCGCCATATTTCAAATTTCTATCGCATTTGGTTGCTGAAACTTGTTTCGCTGTCTAGATAAAACTCGAGGATCCCAATCATATCTGGAAACGTCATAACGCCTTCTTCACATATCAATGGGATATTCCCATGAAGATATCCAGGCGGACTCGAGCTCGAACTTGATCCGACATGAACAACTTAAGGTAATAGCTCGTGAAAGTAGATGTAGAACAGCTAGTATGAAATGGTATTCGCCTTTGAAGGGTACACTCATTCTGTTCGGTTGAGATTCTTTTGCCTAGTTAGAGGGCTAACATGATGTTCCTAAGCTAGTTTCATGGAATTGGTCAAAGGGTTGAGTTCACAGTTAGTCTATCTTTAACGACAGCGAAACTTGCTGTTGCTTAAAATTCTCTTGCATCAAAGTAGTTTGGCTTTTTATCGTTCGAAAATCGACTGTTTTTCTTCATTTTGTGCAATTCTCAACATTGATTGAGTGGAGAGATCTCGTTTTACTACCTATCAATGAAGACAGTATTCTATTTAGGGCAATGCGGAGAAATGGACCATAGCAACTGTGCAAAGTGATCCTGAGCGTAGTCGAGGTTCTAGACACACCAAGAATCAATTCACTATATAGCACTCAATCACTCAAGCCCTTGAAAGAGCTACCCTCCAGTTAAGCTCCTCGAAAGCAATTGCTTGCGATCATGCGACAATATGATTTTATTGAAGCATCATAATGCAAATTTGCACGCACTCCCACAACACTTCCGGAGCACTCCCACAACTATCGCCCCAGACTCTAATTATGAGAGAAAAGTTCATTGAAGTACCAGCCCATCTATCAAAGTATGCTGTAATGTAGTTGCACACTCCCAATCCAAGAACTGAAGACATTTATTCCCTTTTATCAAATGTCACATTTTAGTCATGATCTCTTTTCACTTTCATACCATTCATTACAAATAATCCACTGCATGGATACGTGTGACATCCATCCATCATCGATCACTTATATAAAATTGACTCTCGTCTCATCTTCTATCCCCCCACTCACCCAAAAAATGGAACCTGTCTACTTCAAACCAAAAGAAAGCAAAACAGCAAAAGTTCAGCCTTTTCGGCTTATTCTCCCAGTTATTCCAGTACTATATGGATCACTGTACCTAGTAACGATCTTTTTCCCATTTTGAAGCGGACACTATACCACTGCGCCATGGGGGATGTGTTCGGATACTAGAAGTCATCTTGTTTGGGATTATGTATGTGCGATAGACTTAGGATTCACTAGTTGGCTAGCCGGTGTGTATAGGTGATGATGTTTGGTAGTGCGAGAAACCTTTGCTCGATAGATCTTTAACTCAATCATTGTCCTTGGACATTTAAGCTCCACGTCGATACTCAAAAGTAGTATCTTTTGTCCGTATCGGGAGAATTGGACATAGCAATCAGTTCAACATCGAACGGGTTTATACCCTCAACGGGATCATTTCAGAAAACGGTGTATCAAACCGATGTTCCGAACTTGATTCCAAATTGAGCTCCTTATATGACACAAAAGCGTAGCTAATAATGAAGGCGAAGCTCTTGATGTTTTAAATTGGTTCCGTTTCGAGGATATGGGCAACTGTTTGAACATACCGGATGAGGATAGTCAAAATATTGAGTCCATGTAGAGATATATCACTAAAGTTCTGATACTTTGCGTTAGTGCGGAATGCTGATCGATGCTGAGTAATTTAGATGATTAAAGGCCGAAAATTCTGTTAAGCATAAGCCTGGTAATTCAATATCAAGTGCTTCGAGTACTTGTGCGTCTGGAATAAGCTCATAATGTTAATCGAAAGTCCTCTCGAATTTGTATTCTAGGTTCACTGTTGGCGTCGTTTATAGGAAGATCGAGTAGAAGGTGCACTATCTATTGACTTCATATCCTTCATTGCACCTCTGGAAGATTCCAGCGTCTCGTTCAAAATTATTAGCCCTAGAACATATATCCCTCTTGCATTTACAACTGAAGAAGCAGAATACCAAAAGAGGCGAGACTAGCAGCTTTGACAGTAGCAAATGTTAGCTTCTTTGGCATGTTAGTCGAATGGCGGTATGGGACTCAGAAATATCAGCATCTTGAAGTAAAATAGTAAGTGAAAAAGGCATCTCGTGCTTACAACAACGCAATGATCATTTCGAGCCTCACAGTTGGTTGACTTTAGTTCTTTATGTGGGTCAACTTGATGAAAGACAATGAGCAAACCTCCAGCTCACCTTGGTGAAACTAACTTTATATCTTTCGCGCCCTCCAGATAGTTCACCACGAGCTATCATTCTTGACCTTCTGAAATCGAAACCACATTGGGTATTCAATGAGCACAAAGTCAGAAAGAATATATTTCAAATTCACAAGATATTTTCAATCAATGGTCTGACATGATACCCGCTGTACGTTCTTTTAGCTATAAGCAAGAGTGTATCTGTCTATGACTATTCCGATATTGCATCAATTCAGAATCCAGCTTCCATCTAAGCCCCAGCCATGAATCCGAGGGTTTCCTCCAGAACTTGGGGATCGAATAGAACAATGTCGGCTTAGACTTTTCGGAGGCTGGTTCATCTAAAGCTGATTTCATTTTCGTCGGATGTTCCTAACCTGATAGACGTCAGATACTTTTATTGAACAGATGGACATGGAATTGCAATATAAGCATTCATGGTCAGGTCTCTTAATCAACAATACCTCTACATAAGCAAAAAAACAGGCAGAAATTAATCATTATTCGAAAAACCTTTAACAACTAAGATTTCTTTTTAATTTTAATATTAAATAATAAAAATACTTAATTTCAATATAAAGAAGACTCAAATTTTCGTTTGCTTTTTTCAAATTTCAATATTTAATTTCAAATGAATTTATAATTTTTTAAAAAATACCTTTGAAAGAGTACTCAATTTCTGCCTGTTTTTCGCTTATATAGAGAATGCCATCACGCATTTGAACAGACCCTCGAAGTAAGCGAGGAAGCAGCTGAAACTACAGTAATCACTTTCAATATCACCTACT